CATCTACCAACTCTCTGTAATTTGTAGGAGCAAAATGATAAACTAATATTGAAATATAGAGGCATGAGTTAAATACCTAAAATATAGTTTTGCTCCAAAAAAAAAATGGGGGGATAGTGATCCGATAAAAAATAAACAAAACAAACCAAAATGGGGAACAAAATTCAGAACAATAATCACTTTGAAGAAGAAATGAGGCCAGTGCCTATATATCAGAAAATTATCACATCAGAGTATTACCACAAAATCTGTAGTAAACTATTATTTTGTAGCCAAAACACCTCTTGGGCTCACAAAACCAGCAGATGCTCAAGTCTTACAATGAAAACTGCTAATTTGCCGATCCGATAATGTATCGGATTAATTTGAACAATTTAGAAGAAATGGAGAAAGTGAAAGATGAAGGATCAAGTCCTAAGAAGAAAGAACCTTCAGAACCTCAGAGGTGACCTCATTTGGGGGCCCCTCTGCACGAAGATTGGCAAGAATACCTTTGCTACCATAATAATCAATAACCTGCACGAGAAACAATTGGAATTTGTTTATAAGATCACCATGAACCAGCGAGGATGAAAAGGTACAAAACACAACCCTAAAAATGCCCAGAAAACCTGATATTGAATAAAGAGGGCTCAAAAGGCCATCTAAAATCAGTGATAAAAAAAATCATGATGCTTGATAAGCTCAAGTTTGACTGTATATCACAAATATAACACAAGCTAGACGCTCTAATAGTAGAATGCAGTTATGGATTCTCTAGAAAAGGACAAAAAAATTCCTAGAGGCAATGAAAACAATCTGTGTTGGATAAAGTGATTAAAGACCCCATCTAAAATCAGTGACTTCAAAGAAACTTTGATACTGCATAACCTCATGTCTTGAAACAAATTTACTGCAGACAATCACAACATAGAAGTTCCAATCTTAGAATTCAGTATGCAGGTAAATTTAGAAACTAAAATTATACCTAGGGCAGGAATACATAGACATACAGCAAAACATTGATAAGCTACAGAAAAAGGAAGAGTGCAATGACAAAAGTGTCAATGAATTCCATTATTGTTCCACAAAGAAGTAAAATAGCCTACCGGTTCAGTCTGCCTATGAAAAGCCTCCAGCCTTGACTTGAGCACTGCTGGGGTATCATCCTTTCTTTGAATCAAAGGCTCTCCAGTGACCTTCAGTGAACAGCATGAATAAGATGAGATACAGGGTGCAAGCAAACAGAACCTTTGACTCAAGCAGTAGATATACATGCACAAAGTTCGAAGAAATATGGTGATCAAATATAAATATTCAAGTTTGAAGTACAGAAATATGCATGATTACTAGGCATCATTCTTCATTACATATGAAAGAGTACTGCATAACCCATAGAACCTGCATATTCATCTTAAATATGTAATGAAGATTCTTGGAATTTTCTAAAGAAATATTTTAAGAGATTAATCCCAGGATTTTAACCCAGTATGTAATCAATATCAATGGAAGGAAATTGCCTTGAAACCAATCCCAATTTTATGATCCTTCACATTAAGCAAGAATTTAGCTGTATTGAAGGAGAATGCATGTACTGTCTTTTTGCTCGATGAACTCAAAGACGATTGCAAAGATAGCATGTTATACTGTTTTTTGCTTAATGAACTCAAAGATTTATGCAAAGACAGACGAAATTTTAAGGACATTGAGAATGGCACTGTAGTTTGAACAATCAGTCTAGGTATTTAAACTAATAGAGCTTGCAGATGGTGCAAGTCTGAATCTGGTCCTTCTACTTTCTTATTTCAAAGATTTTAGCCCTTCTAACCCAATTTTAATGAATTTAACTCTAGCACTTTTTTGAAAAATTAATTTGAGGACAATTAATAATGGTGTTAAACTTCTGCAATTAAATTCAGTCACGTAGCTTTTTGGTTGATGACATGACATGACATGTCAACCAGAATTGTTTTGGCCATGTGGCACAATTCAGTACAAAAAAAAACTTTATTTTTATACAAAATACTAATTTTTCATTTTCAAATTTAGAAGTAGTAACTATTATTAGTTAAAATAAAATATGATACTTTAGACTGATATGTATCACCTGACCAAAAAATTAATACATCTCAACATGTCAAGTCATCACCAGCATGCCACATCATCCAAGTGAAATGCAAAATTTAAGTACCATTATCAATTGTCCTTAAGTTGACTTTTAATAAAAGTGCAGATATTAAATTTATTAAAATTTATGTAGAGAGATTAAACCTGCCAAATTGAAATGGTAAAAGTACCAAAATTTAAACTTAGACCAGATTCACTCAATGTCAATAATCATCTTATAATAGAAAAAATGAATCAAAAAAGATGTCAAAAACACCTACATCATCAACACCAGGAACTTTGGGAGGTGCAAATTTAGTATGGTAGCTTCGACCACTGGAAGGATGTATCCATCGACCAGTGATCCTCTCCTCCAATATGGAATCTTCAATAGCAAAGTTCAACACCTTGTCAATCTTGGTTCCCTGCCTTTGAAGCATCTCATCAAGCTGTATCAAAGATAACAAACATGGTAGGACATCGTCAGACTATCAAAGCCAAAATAAAATTCAACAAGAAAGATGCACAGAGATGTTAAAAGCATCTCATCAAGCTGTATCAAAGATAACAAACATGGTTGGACATCGTCAGACTATCAAAGCCAAAATAAAATTCAACAAGAAAGATGCACAGAGATGTTATGAAATAAAAACTAACATCACCTTCTGTGCCTGGACCACAGTCCTTGGAAAACCATCTAAAATGAAACCTTTTTGGCATGAGGGTTTTTTCATGGCTTCATCAATTATTCCAACCACCAAATCATCAGAAACAAGTTCCCCCTACATGACCAAAACATATGTACTATTACAATCTGCAATGCGATGCATAGACAACAAGTGACAAGCCTATAGGGAACAGAAAATGAGGAGACAAAAAGGAATCTACTTTATCCATAGCTTCTTTGGCCTTAATTCCAAGCGGTGTTTTAGCAGCAACTGCAGCTCTGAGCATATCACCTGTGGCTAAATGGCACAAGCAGTAGTCATCCTTAATTATGGGTGATTGTGTACCCTTTCCGGATCCAGGGGGACCTGCAGTTCATTAAAATTTTCAGTTCAATCACCCAACTCTAACAAGTTATGCATAGTTCTCCAATGTGAAAACACCTCCCCACTTCCGAGAAAAAAAAAAGAGCACTTATGTTTTGCACATCATTTTGTATTTAGTTCCATAGAAATCCAATTGTGGCTTGACGGTAAACTCCAGTCCCGTCCCTTTAAAAATTAACTGATTGGTATTAAGCAATAAAAGGTGGGAAGTTCGTAAACTTCAGAGCCTCAAACAAATTGGACACAAAAGAATGCAAAAAAAGGGTTTTGAAGTTTGAACTACTGCAATTAAAGCAAGATTCAAAACCAACAATGAAAGGGTCCAATAATCATAACTGAAACACACAGCAAACTCAGCTAAAAAATCCTAGAACCCCACAACAAAGTTCTATAAATAGACAATTTTTTAATGAGTCCTACCACTGAAAAACTAAACCTTCAAGAAAACACTAAGAACGAAACTTTCTCTATGAAAAAATATATATAACACTACAAAACATAACAAACCCAAGAAACAAACCAATAAGAATGAGGCGTTTGTCAGGCTTGGAGGAGCACTTGAAGCGACGAAGCAGTTCAGTCATGATATCAACGGAAGGTACATCTTCCAAAGCCACTGCAGAACTCGCCATTTCTTTCCGAAAAGATATTACTATGTGAGAAAAAAAAAACAAAATTGAAATATTATATGGAAGAAGAGAGAAAGGGAAAAAGGTGGAAGATTATAGAGAAAGATTATATAGGAAGAAGAGGGTAGGTGGAACCGTGGGAAGGTGTCGTATATGTATCTTCAATTCTTGGTAAGAGACTTAAGTTAAAGAGTGGTTGGACTTTTTCTTTTGGTGGGTTGGGGACTTCGCTTGTGGTTGGTTGGTATTGTTGGTGGCGCTGAATGTTGCTGCCTTGTTGGGCGTTGGATCACTCTCCTGTTTCGGCCTCCGAGCAAGCTCCCGCTGTTGTTTCTCTTTTTTTTTTATTTTGTTCTGTTTTGCCCTCATATGGTGCTT